AACCAAAACTAGGAGCAAACCGCAGAATACCCACACAGTGTATAACAGGGCAGGAAAACCTGGGGAGCAGAGCAACAGGACTCAGGAACATAAGCAGGTAACAGGACTCGGGAACATAAGCAGGTAACAGGACTCAGGAACATAAGCAGGTAACAGGACTCGGGGATTTAAGCAGGTAACAGATCTCAGGAATCGCAGGAAATGGCAACAGGACTGGGGACTCAGGATTCACAGGAAACAACAAGATACGAAGCCATCGTCCTGACTGCAGGGAGGGTTTTAAATACCCTCCCAGGAAGCACCAGGTGATGGCTAGGTGCTGGCAGCTGGGAGACACCCGCAGGTGACCCCTTTACCTGCAGGTTGCAGCTCCACCCAGTGGTGGTCTGGTACCTGACAGTTCCTGGCTGCCTGGAGACACCTGCAGGTGAGCACAGGAACTGCAGTGCTTAGCTCCAGCGCCACCTGGAGGTGCTCTGGATCCTAACATGTCCTCATTAGAAGATTTCCCCAACTCTAAAATTTTGGATTTCACTTTCTTGGTCACCAGTACAGAGGGGTGAAACTCGCCTAGACCAGGAATAAAAATTTGACACAGGGTCTAACCCTTCCCCACTTTATCCAAAATTAAAAAGAAAGGTTTTGCCTAGAGATACACTTAAACCTCATCTATATAGGCACAAAAAAATGAGTCTACACATCTTTTCAGTTCTATAACCATGCTAATTTGAATTAATCTGTAACAAGTAATTGGCCATAGTGGAGTTCTATTTCACAAAAATTATTATAACTGGTAAATTCACCTGCGGATCATTTGCTGGAAATTTAAGCTTGTGTATTGTCTGTAAAAGACGTATTAAAGCCATCCTTCCATTTAATTAAAAAGTAATATGTTATTTCTTTAAATTGAGGAGCTGTAAATCATTAAATATACTAAATAACATTGTTAATTAGACATCCCGGGTATGTATTTATTTCCTACTTAGGGTATGATTTCCCATATATTGTTTGTGGATAGCTCCCGACTGTCCCTCATTTGGAACCAAATACCTCTGTCCCTCTTTCCTGTTCAGTTGTCCCTCTTTTTTGGTCTCATGTATCTATGAGAAATGTATTAGTTGACTTTACTGCACTAAGCCTTTTATTTAACCTATAAATTATTCAATTTTTTATTTTGAAAAGCTAAAAGAAAGGAAAAGTAGTGATGACAGTTTTGAGTTAAACCAATATTTTTTGTGCATTAATCCTCATGGTCCATGTTCATGGAGGTGTGACAGGGACCTTCCCTTCCCCTTTCCTTTTTCAAAAAGTATGTTGATGGCGTACTAAATATATGCAGTGCCCAAGTGCGGGTGTAAAACGCAGTCTTGGCGTACATTTGTGTGCACAACTATACTTACACTTCTGCTCAGTGGGTGGGGTTTCAATAGCCAGCCTGCTATTGGCTATTGCAATTTGCAATAGCCAAAAGCAATACAGTTTTACCACGGGGATCAGTAGGTGCCAGATAACTGGGAGTTTACTATACTTCATTGTTTCCAATAATCTAGCATGTATAACCAA